AAAGTTTCCCTATTCTGACATTTTTGATTATTGCGAATAGGGAGGAAATGTATTGAGATATTATACAACATGACAATGGGTTGTCAATAATCGCACTCTTGATATTGTGCTATATTATTAGGAAATTGATAATAAGGTAATTCTAATAAACGTGCTCCAGTGAGAAATATAGCTTCACTGTGCATGTATAACAAGAAAAAAATGTCGATTTAATTATAGATTTGAATATATTAATATTCTAATAAATTACTGAGCATATTTGCTTGAATTATTTTATTGAACATAACAATAGCACAAAAGTTTGTTATGCGAATTTAATCGTACAATTTTATAATCTTTCTAAAAATATTTCTTTTTTTCCTTGTAATTTGTTCGCTAAAATTCTATTATCAGTAATTTGATATATTCTTTGAGAGATACGAATAGCTTTATTTCTGATATAAAGAAGTTATCAGAAGAGGCGAGAAAATCTCGTGATCGGAGAGAGGATGATGAGGAGAACGGCTAAAAGAAGAAGGTAAAGAAGGAAGAAGAAGAAGAAGAAAGAGAAGATAAAGTCGAGGGGGCTCGAGAAGAAATAAGAAAGCGACAAGTCGTTGAAACGGGCGTGCTCGCTGCTCGCGCATTGGTGCACCGTTGTTCACGATGTGTGCACAGTCGCCATGTTGAATATCCCCACTTCTGTTTCACGTGTCGAGGCACCTACACACGTGCTGCTGCCACTGTCGTGGCCACACGCGCCGTCCTCGGTAGGGTGAGAAATCGAGCCTCATCGGCTCCGCCATGGGGGCTGGTTGCTGTATACGGTGAACTAGCAGAAGGAGAGGGGAAACAGAAAAAAATACGAGGATTTTTTTAAGGTTTTGGATGCAATTTCGGATAGTCGATTCAATGCGCAGCCTCCTCTAATTGAAGCGATTCTGACGGTGGTTCGCGTTGTATAATGGACAGGATATTTATTAGGAGTGTCTTCCCCTCTAGACTTGAATTACGATCGTAACGTATTCTTCGTGAGAGTCGATATTTAAACCCATTGTACTTTTCTGTAGTAATTGTGGCTTGAAATTCTAGCCGAATGAAAGAGATGATTTTTACAGATTTAAATCAGTTCAAAATTGGTTGATTGTTAGAAGATTGATTGTTATAAGAAATTAATTGATTAAGTATGAATTAATAAATTATTAGTAAAAATAATTAATAAAGAATTTGTTCTCTCTCTCTCTCTCTCGCTCTCTCTCTCTCTCTCTCTCTCTCAAGTGGCATTATGAATAGACACTAACACGAATGTCATTTCTCTTAAGGCACACAACAATACGCCACTAAACTAATATTGATCGATTGAAATTAATATTGATTGAAAGTATAATGATGCAAATCGTCAATCTCGAAACGCTTACATTTCTACGTGCTGTAAATGCCGCTCGATATCATCCGAACATATGTAACATTAAAAGTTAATCGATTATTCCTGGCGAGATGAGGGTCCCGTGATTGAGTGCCTCCAATCTCACGCGATATGACGTTTACCTAGCGTCTCCGATCCGTCGTCCTTTGATACGTCGATTGATTCGTTCTAACTCTGATTAGACGTAACGATTTAGCACAGAATTTATCGTCGCTGATAGGCTCGCTCCCTCGTCATGTGACGGGAATATTTCTTTTTATAACATATCGAGTCGATATCAATTCGCCAGCAAACGCAATTTGCACATACTATGCCATACACATAATTTAATAACAATATCGAATGTTTTACGGCTACATCTCTAGCTCTAGCAAATCGTTACGTTTAAAATAAACTAATTATAAAATGTATTCTTGCTATTCTTGTCGATTTAATAGATACTCTCTTAAATTTCGAATTTAAATTTCTTTCTGGAGAAGATTTAGTGAAGCTTGAAGACCTTACAAATATTTAAATAAAAAATAAAACTGGTATCTTACAGCTTATCAAACGCATTTAGCATGATATATAATTACATAAATGTGATTCATTAAACATTTATATGATAAAAGGAAATCGCCGTATTGTAGAATAGTATATCCTATATATGAATACAATGTAATTGTAACGAGCGTGTCGTCATTCGTTCTAATTTTCAATGCGGTTTTGAGATCAACGTGGCTTGATTACAACCGATGATTGTAAACGTCGCCCGAAGATGAACGTCAATTATGAAATATTCGCTCGGTTGACAGTAGATTTTCACGGCTCCGCGATCACGAGCGCTTTCAACATCCTGACAGGAGTGTCATTTCGCGCCGTCGGCTGACGTCTTAATTGTGCAATTAACGTCGATCAAATTATATGTCGGATATTACTGTTAGACTTCCCGTAATCGCAATATCGCATAGAAAAGCTAGTCGATGAGTAATATCGAGATTCGAAAGGTTTTTGAAACGCGCGAATTTGCATGTGTTCCACTTTTAATAGTGCGATTAATTTTTCGTTTACATTTAATTTGTGTTGCGTTTCATGAACGATTATTAATTTTTTCCGATTGATTTTAGAGAACAGTTTATGTATGCAGAAATTGATAGACTTAAATTTAAACTTCACAAATAAAGATTTCTCTAATTCAATAAGTACGCATTAATCTGTTGACATAATAGTCATTCGTAACCGACTCTCTAAAAGTAAATCAGTGTATTTTTATTATTACTGACTTCAGCGCTACACTTATAACTGATGTGATTTTATCAGCGAATATTTACTGTTATTCAATAATAATACACTGATTCACTTTTATAGAGATTATGATTTACTGCATATTCAATCTATAAACATCATAACCTCTTGTTACTGAAAAACAATAAATATTTGCTGATGATTTCATCAATTATATAAATGTAGCACTGAAACTATTGGGCGAGTTTAAGCCGACTAAGCAACTAGACCATGTTTGCGTGATCAATGAATATGATTGGTTCTTACCTGTGGATTCAACCAATCATGTTAATAGCTTTGTCGACTTGAACTCGTCCACTGATTCTCTTTTAAAAAAGGTGTTTAATGTTCCATTTAATAGAGACTCTAAAGGAGAGTCTGGACAATCTTCGGTTTTGAATAAAATGGCGTCTACGATCCTACGCAGTACCACTACACTGGGTCTCTAGTACCACAGTAGTACTCACGCAGTGAGTACTATGCAGTATGAAAAGTATGAAGTGAAAAGTATTGGTATAAAATTGATATTCAAGGATTCAAAATTATAAATAGATAAGCTTATACATTATGATTTTATTAAAGAGATTGAGTCAAAGATATAAATAAAAAATTATATATATATATATATATATATCGACTAATTTGTTTGAATTTCTCGTGTGGTTGAAGAATTGTCTAAGCACGCATTGAAATGATCATAAAAGAATGTAAGTTATTTAAAATAATATATAATACATATATTATTCTTTTAATTATTTTTTTTATTTTTTCATTATTGTTATTATTTTTGTTATACTAAATCAGTGCTGGGCTTTACTTGCATATTTCGGCCGATTTTCAGCTTGGTTCCTGCCTCTTACTTCACCAATCCGCGCGAGTTAATGAAAAGGTAGGAATCAAGCTGCAAATCGGCTGAAATGTGCAAGTAAATTCCAGCACTACTAAATAATAATTTTACAAAAGAAAGAAGGATGTATGGACGGCAGGATATAATATTTCTTATATAATTATATATATTTATTATATTTCTAAATTAAAATGACAACTTTCATAAATTTCTCCGTCGAGGTCTCTACATTTAGCACAGACCTTCGAAAGTTTTAAAAAGGACGTCTCTATAGTCTTCGAATGTTTTAAGAACTCTCTTGATAAAGCGTGAAAATTTAGTAGCGCCATGAATAACTAGCGTCTGGCATTGTATTGAAATGTTTTAAAAGACTTAAAAGATATATATGTTAGGTATATTTATATGTTAGGTAGATGTATATGTTAGGTATAAGGTATTACTGTATAAAATAATCAATCAGTAATTAGTTTTAAAGCAATAAAAAAAACTGAATAATTGAATGACAAATGTTAAAATTGATTTAGAATTCTAGAGAAAAACATGTCTCCTATGTGATTTTAAGCTGATTTTCCTTTTTTTCGTTTATTATTTTTTCGTTTTCTTAATGTCCTTTAGGATTATTCAGATTTTTTCATTGCTTTAAAACGTGCTCATTTTCTTCCGCTTTTTAATCGTGGTGGAAAATATGCAGAAAGTACGAATACTTTATGTATAAATATTTAAGCTAAGGCTTATGTTAAATACTCAGTTTTTGGTATATTTACATCTCACCTTCAATGATAAATGTGCACATTTATTTCTGAGATTTTATAGCATGTGTAATGTAAATTAAATTGTTGTCGTTAAATGAGTGCATTTATTGATAAAAATGAAGTGTTAATACGGACATTTATCTTTTTCTGGTATTTTTTCATCTTCATTCATTTATATCTTTTATTATCGATTCTTTTTCTACAGTCCTTTCGTGTCGACAACGAAAAGAGAAAATCATAGTTTTATAGTTAAACTCATCTTCACTTGTCCTACGAATAGAAATGTCCAAGTATAATCTGCCATAATATTAGAATCCATCACTAAATTTGCAATCGAATGTTCTATCTTCCCATTAGTTTTCGTTTAAGATCACTTCGTATACAGTATAATTATTATGATGGCTGCATTATAACAGTACAAAATTATTTCTCTTTTAAATCTTTACTTGTACATTTTCACATAAAATATCTTTCATTGAAAAGACTGCATTGTACAAAGAATATAAAGACGGTAATTATACAAAGAAAAAGATACTCTGTTTCAACGTGATTTTCTGAGCATCGTTACGAACTGTTTTGACCTTTTCACACCTTTTTATTCGAATCCCGTGTCTCCGGCGGGATTTTATTGCTCTCCAGTATAGACTAGAGAGGAAAGCCGAAGAAGTAAGCGAAGCCGTACAATCCACAAACGAACGAACAGTTCCTCTCCTCGTTTCTCCTGCGGGGCGGAATGGACGAGATGGAGAATGGGGAAGGGGGCGGGACGGGGGCGGTAGGAGAGAAACGGGGAAACGTGGGTGGAAGCGAGAGCGAGAGCCAGACGTATTAATTAAACGACTCATTTTCATCGCACGACAAAAACGTTGGTTTAACGCCCATCGCGGACTAATGCGTCGCCCCACTGCAGCTTCTACGTACCTTGCTGGAACTCTGGTAGCCACGGTCGTGTTCACATCCAACTCTGCTTTCCGTGTCGTGGCAAATTCGCCAATCGGACGCGAGTGTACGCCTTCGTAATATCGAGCAACGCCCTTTTCGAATCCCCACTTGGGGCTCCACTTGATGTTAGTACCGTCGACGGCGGAGTCGCTCTGGCGGTGGAAGTCCTAGTGGGGTGTCGACTGGTTGGGTTGCTCTACCGGACCGTGGTCCCCCACTACGGTGGGGCAAGCGCCTCGTTTAGCCTGTAATTTGCTCAAACACTAGCAAGCGCTCGTGCCAGGAACATCCGTCAGAGCTGGCGCTCGGTGTTAGCTCTCGTAACCGAGAGCTGAATTTCACAGGACGCAGCGCGACGTGTGCCCGCTTTTGACGTTGTACTCAAGACGTCCTTCCTCGTCCCGTTTCTCGTCGAGAATCCAGTCCGTGTCGCGAGCAGGTCGATGGAGAGTGTCGAACGTGACGTACGAGTGAGTGCCGTGAGACTCCAGCCAGTGCGACGACGTTCGTGATTACGACGGGATTACGTCAGTTGAGTTACGTTGGTGGGTGATTTGGCGACACCGGCGGGACGACGAGTATGTATCTGTCGTATGTTAGTGATGCGTGAACAAGAGGCCGGGACTTAATTGTCCGTCGCCGAGTGACAACTGGTATAGATTTAACGGAATAACGGACATCGTTGATGATCATTTGCAGATTGAGAAAAAACAATTAATATTCTAAGAAAGAAACAATTGAGAAATCGAAAATATTTTGGGAACTGTGTGAAGAGATACAGACTTTGAAGAAGTGAATCTTCTGGTGGGGATCGGAGTGTTCCAGTGATAATTTAACAGTGTTTCTAAAAAATCCAGAAGTTTTCTTCGTTATTGCAGATCATTCGATTGATTCGAGGAAGGCGGCTTGGAGGCGGCCGCGATGATGCGGCGAACTTAATCCCAACGATTCAGCGTTCACAGATTCGTTGGTTCTGTCAAAGTGGGTTGTCCACCTGGGAAGCGTACGATAATCGTACGATGATGCCGCTCGCGCCGACGCCAATCGTCCCGGTGCCATCTAAGCCGAAAATCGGCTTTAGCATCGACTCGATCGTCGGCGGCGGGCAAGGAGGCCGCGAGGCGGATCGTCTGGATCGCCTGGAGCGAGTCGAAATCGATGGCAGTCCGATGGAGATAGTCGAGGGCTCGTCCTCGCCGCGATCGCGCCGGGTCGCCACGAGATCACCCGGTGCTCATTCCGAAGGCTCCGATCGACCCGTTTCTAGGAGTTCCTCTGTAGAATCATATCCGAACTCACGACGGACACCGTCGCACGCCACCGTTGGTAGCGGCGGCGGCGGAGGTCATCATCACCTTCATGGTACCAATCATCACGGTATTCCGCATCATCACAATCTGTCAGCGACACATCTAGACTTTGGTCGAACAACTGTTCACAGCCACAGCGGCGGCTCCACGCCCAACAACAGCCCTAGTCCGCCGCACAGGATACCACACGGGGATTCACCGGTAGGCTCGCATCCTCAACCGCCCCCAGGGGTAGTCAGGCCCAGCCCGAACTACCTCGCGCCACCACCTAGCGCCGCGACGGCTGCGGTCATGGCCGCGGAGCAGCTCAAGTCTTTATATGGACTACCCGCCAGCCATAGTCCCGCGGGACCGCAGACTGGCCAAAATGAATACCACACACAGCAATTGGCTTTAGCTGCCAATTTGGCTGCGGCCCAGCACTTCCAGGCGGCGAATATCGCGGTGGCGCTTCAGGCGCATCACGGTGCGACACCCCATGGACCGCCACATGGGCCTTATCCACACGGTGGGACCCCCGGCGGGCCACATCCGCCTCCTCATCCCCATCAACCGCCTAGAGACAGCTACCCCTTATACCCTTGGTTGCTCTCAAGGCATGGTAGAATTTTTCCACACAGATTTCCTGGAGGTATGCTTCATATTTTCTTTTCGATACAAAAATTGGCTATTATAAAGCCTTGGCCAAAAATATTAGACACTTTATCAATCATTTAAGTTTCAGGGCAAAAATTAATTTACGACATTGACTGTAAATTATGTTTCAAGGATCCTTATTTATAATGCTGGTGATCAGTAGATAATAATGTAGGTAAAAAAATTCCAGGTGAACAAAAAATATAAGTGCCCCTAATATAATACTTTTGACCAAGGCTGTATATGTGCAGTTAGGAAATAATTCAGCGCAATTTAAGTTTTTTTTCTACAATAACCTTTAACATCCTTTAATGTTTTGAGATTTAACGGGTATTATATGGTAAATTTATGCAATCTAAAAATATTACGGAAAGATGTGACTTATTCTATTTATTTCAGTGACACAATTTAAAAAATGTGATTTTCGAATTATATTACATTACTCACATTATACCTGAATTGTACATGAATGAGTCATGTAAATATTCATCAAAAGTGAATTAACTTAACTTAATAAAAAATCGTTAAAGTTGTCACAACTTAAAAGGATGGATTTTTTAAGATGTGAAACGAAAATGACAAAAGTGATGTGTTAAGAATACGTGCTTTTCACCGATATTGTATGATTCGCCGATAATTTTCTGTCCAAAGTTGAAAAATTATTTTTCCCTTTTTCTGAGAAATTTAATTTTTTGAGTTGTGTCATGTTTTAAATAAGGAAACATTTAATTAAATTTATTCCACGAATGATTGCTATTATTATTACTGCATTAAATTCACATGTAACTAGAATTTATATGCTTGACGTTAGCGAAGGTCAAATGTTATTCGAATGAAAATATTTATTTTGTTTAATATGAAAAAGAATGCTGTTTGTCGATAAATGTTTATATTTGGAAGCTAAGATCATTCAGAGCCAAATGATTTAGAAAACTCACTTGATCTTGGTTTATCAATTATATTTTATCATGTTAAACACGCAATTTAAATTTGTGTTCAAAGATTTCGGCAATGAGAGAGTCTCTATGGACATAATTATATTCACATCAAGTTTATAGTGTAGTAATTTATCTACGTGAAAACCATTCAAGATAGATAAACTATCATTCACATTTCTTATCACAAATCATGCGAGATCGACGCGTAAACATAGAAAATGTAATAATATTTATAAGAAAAGGTTATTTGTCTCGGAGACTATTCTGAAAGTTTAGTATTAGATTTGTTTTTTCTATGGTTGAACTAGTATATACTTTTGGAACTTAAAGTGAAATAGATATATGTTTGGTATTTTTTGCGAAAGCGAAAAGGAATTTCTAGTGCATTCAGAGCAGAAATAAAAAACAGACCTCATGTCAATTCAACAATGTCAAAGAACATTAAAACACATATTTTTTCGAATGTTATCGGATCGTGTCTGATTATGCGCTATAATTATGTTTGAAAACTCATCAATTTCAATCAACAACAATTATATCATCAACAATGCTTTGGTACAAATCGAAATTTTCAAACTGGTTTTATCATAATTTTTATTGAAGGAATATTGTAAACCTTTCTCCCACTTTAGAAATACAAGCTTGTTTTTAAAATTATTTATCGCTGTTGTTTCTGTATTGCAAAGTACAATACAGTATTTGTGTATTTCTAATTAATTAATTTAAGGTTAAGTTCGTATTTTGTAGACTTTGTTTTTCTCAGTGGAATAGTTTTGTACTGTTCCATATTTAACATTCTTATACGTATTCTACAATAAGCCGTTATTTAAGCTTTAAATCTTACAGTTAAGTTGTAAGAAATTGACTAGTCACAATCGAATGTGAGAAGAATAATCGATTCTGATTGGCCAATTTCTTACGGCTCTTAATTTAAGCTTAGGTAACAGCTTATTATAGAAGACCCATTAGAATTATCTGTGAGGTAGTAAGTTCGGGAATTGAATCCTTTTGTTTGATAGGTGATTTTTCTAGCATTGTTGGCTGTTCAATATTTTCATATTGCTTATTTGCTACTACAGCGGCACAACTCAGAAAATAAAGTTTGTCAGAAAATAAATTTCAATGTTTTGAATCATTAAAATTTTGTAATCTTGATTATGAAATGCAATTTTGGTGTAATAACTGTTTGCAGAGGAATAAAAGTGTATTCTTTTTTTTTGTTTCTTTTTGCAAGTAACTAAAAAATGACAATTTTTTTAGTTATGTCATTGTTATATAGTAGCAAATGAGTGATATGTAAATACACCGTTCAACTAACAAAACCAAGTGAAACTCAATTTAAAGATTGTAATCGAGAGATTGCGGTCGCGCATTTCATTTGCAATATTGATAATTATCCCTGTACATATAATACAGTTAATTACACCGTTCGCGCATCGCTGCGTTACGCAAGTATTTCGTAATTAAGATTTTGTAATGTTGTTGTTCCCGGTATGGCGTTCCTTATCACGCACCACGCCACGTCAGGCAAAACAAGTGTCATAGTTTTCCCTGCGTCCTAATTAATTTATTTCCTCGAGTTGATATAAGCACCAATCCAATTACGTGCCTATCGCTGTTCATACTATTAATGGGAAACATAGAAGAAATATCGTCGTATCCGAGAATTCTTTCTCTCCCGTTCGGCTCCCCGCAGCTCGACTGTCTCGTTCGCGTGATGCTGAAGCACGCATACACAACTTTATGATAGATGACGCCGCTTATCGGTTACACCGAGATAACGATTTCTGTCGTCTAATATGTATTATTGAACAATCTGAGGTACCACGAAGAGATATTTAATGTTTATGACACGAAAGAAAGCGGCAGTACCAGGATATCAATTTGAGTCTCAATAAAGGTTCGCTAGAAGGACAATAATAGATAGTAATCGACGTCATCTCTTCGTGACCATTTGATAAATATTCAATTATCTCATTTATTAATTAAACGACATCTATTGCCGGCAGATAATGAATTAGTCAATTATTTTCGATACAAATATTTAAAAATTAATCAATTATGGATTCTTATTTTAAAGTAAGCACATGATAAGAACGGTTTTACTGAAGTATAAAAATTTAGCAATTATAGATCTGAAAATAATTTTATTAAACTATTAAAAAAATTTGTAAAACGTTCAAGCTGGTTATTAGAATATCGAAATTTTTTTGCAGCATTGCTCGTCATACTTGAGTTTTCTACATAATTATTTTGATTGTGTAACAAAATTATTTTTAGATTTATTGTATTTTTGGATTAGATATGTAGTATATAAATTCACACTGAATTATTTAAGTACTAAAAATCCAGCTTGACCATTTAGGAACTTTTTTTCCGATTTCTTGTGTATTCACATTTTTACGGTCTCAAAAAAGATATATTGTGTTTAGTATTATTATATTTAGTTAAATTATAAAATTTTTTTTCAACAAAATCGTTTTTTCAACAAAATCGTTTTTTCTATCAATCAATTTTGATTATGAGTTATTAGTTCTGGATTTTAAAGGAAGTATTTATTTCAATGTCATTTGCAAATTATGGATTAATTTTATTCTTGTTTTGAAAAGGAGTACCAATACCATTTGCGTCGAGGCAGTTTTTGTCGAATCTTTTTCGAAGTTCAAACAGTGAAATAATGTCTGTTTGCACTTCTTATAAATTACTTAAGATACACCGGTCGGCAATCAGACAACACAGGCCTCGTTTAGTGTTACTTATGTGGTTCGCCACAAGAGGCAGGCAAGTTCAAAGAAGACAGAGTGTTCCCGGTAAATAGAGAAGACGATTATCATAAATTTACCGCAATCGGCACGTATACGGGGCGTGCCAGTCGGTTAAGAAATATATCCGCAGAAAGGAAACTAGTTTCTTCGAAGAAAAGCTCCCAATCAGTGCCATATTAACTCTCGTTTCGCACATTTCTTTTTCAAATTTCTCTTTTTCTTGAGTGATAATAGGAAGTAGGTGTAAAAGTGAGAATGCAATGGTAAAAATAATCTTAGATTTCCCGAGTCGAAATTTTAATTCTACTTTCAATTTCTTTTAACCTCAATTAAACCTCATAAACCTGTTTTGATACTTAAACAATCAAATAAGATCTCTTTTAATATTACTTAATCTACAGCTTCTATTTAGAAAACTTCTTTTGAACCTTCTTTTGAAAAAATAGGAAATTTTCTCCGATAACTGCCATTTACAGGCTCAACGTAGGAGTTCAATTCATTAGATTAAAACCTATTATAAATCTCTAGAGTCTACATATGTCCTAATTATAAATCTTTAGAGACTACATACGTCCTAAAACTAATGTCTAAGTTGTAAGCAAAATCGTAAGGCTCGTAATATATTTCCTGTAAGACTTGTAAGAATGTTTAAGTGCTTATACCCCTTTATGTGATATTTTTACAGACAGCTTCTTACTAGCCATAAAATTTATAAGAAATTGTAGATATTTACGAATAATCGTACGTCTTACGATACATACGCATAAAATTAGAATACTAGTCATAAGTTCTTACAAGTTTTACGAGAACACGTTATGAGTCTTACGATTCTCCTTAGAATTGACCCACAAGATTCAAAGTAGAAGTAAAATTTCGATTCGGGTTCTCTTTGCAAATTAATTGGAAAAATGATAATTAGTACATAAACATAAACATTCACCTGATTTAAGTGAAATTCGAAGTATGATTCGAAAGTAATAATAAGAAATGGTGCGTACAAAGAATCATCGTTTTTACTGAACAAAAAAGAGGAACAATAGATTTTTTTGAACAAAAAATAGAAACAATAGATTTTTCTTTTGTTCATACATATGTCCAAATACAATGGTATTGTAAAATATATAAGCGAAACGGAATGTTATGAGTGTTTGACAAACGTGGGCAAGCATTCTAAGTACTAAGAATACTATAGAACGAATGAAAGAGGATCCTGATTTATTCTAGTTCTAGTCAAATCCATTAATTTTTTTATTATTTACAAATTATATTCGGATACTTAAAAAAATATTTTGAAGAAAAGGGAAAAAAATCAATATCGTCAAATAATAGCGAGAAGAATTTAGAAGAATACAAAGATGCATCTAAAAACTTGCAGTTAAATTATGATGACAAAGGCTTGAATTAGAAATCGTAAAGGACTTGGAATAAAAAATTATTTAATAACCATTTCTATTGTCACATAATAACAGACAGTTAAATGGCAACAGTATAATAAAATTAGAAAGTAGTGACAAGAAATTGATCCTTAGATTGTCAGATGGGATAGTATTACAAGAAGAAAGGATAACAAAAGAATTGTGAACTTGTTGAGAATGATTCAGCAGAAAGAAACGTAAAATGGTAAAAGCCGAATCAGATAATTCGGGACATGGTAACTCTACTAAAAGTAACTCTCACTTATCAGCGCTGGATGAGTTAAAAAAATTGAGTACTAAACAATTATAAAGAGTCAATTATCAGGAGAGCGTAGATTAGAGTTAAAAACGTGAAGAAAAGAGAGAGAGAGAGAGAGAGAGAATGTATTATTTATTGAGCGCTCTAGAACAAGTTCTTTGAAATGTTTTGATAATAAGATAAATGATACTTAGATTCAGGATAATGAAAATTAGAAAGTACAAATTCTTTGAAAATTAAGAATATATGATGTGTGTGTGTTTATATGTGGAGTTGAATATATATAAATAAAGAGAAAGAGAGAGATAATATTACACATTTTATGAATAATGATGACTATAATTACTATTTTGTTTTAATATAACCAATATAATATTTTTAAATTAAATTAATCGAATAAACGCAACGCAAATTGGTTTTTCTTTTTTCTTCAAAGCTCTCATCGAGAAATTCTGCCATATAAAATCTACGCTTTTGGAAACTCTAAGCGACGTTCTTTCAGATATCAATTAAGATATTTCCTCATCGGCTTTTTTGGTTTATAGCGATTATTTATGCTGAAGCGTTGACCCGATAACGCGTACTCAAGGCAGTATTACGTACGATATTGCCGTAATAAATATATCTTCTATATATTAGAAATTGCGCGAGGTCTCGCGCGGCAATCGAGTTTCGATGCAATAAAAACACCGGGACGCACCGCGATGTAGCCGATCGGAGGTCCAGTCACGTAGAAGGGGCAGCCGCTTATCTAGCAATTAGTCGGTATCGGTAATTACCGTTGAGAAGAGCAAGAGGTCCTCCCTCTCCCCGCTATTTTATAGCACACTCGTACGTCCGAATACACGGGTGCTCGATTCATGTACGAATATACGCTCGATCTCGAGCGCGCAACCGTCTCGGTATAAGCGAGTCTTTGATTATTTTCTCTAGCCTATTTCGCCTCAACCCTGCCTGCCAACATCTTTAAAGGCTTTTAATGGTGCAAAGAGAACTTCCTCCTTGCTGAATCTCCTGCCCAGCCACTCTACGTTGACGGACATTACCGCAACGATTAATTGCCCCTTAGCGTTTTTTTTTCATCGCTCGTTTCTACACCGATTTTTAAAACCGATATCGCGAATTAAAATCTTGGCTGTTAGAAAGTAATTCTTATTTTACGCATTGGATATGGAAATAAAATCATGAATTGTACTTAAGAGATTTTTCATCCGCCAACGTAAACATATATTTATTAGTTTAATTTTCCGTTCACGCCGAATAAATATAATTTTATATTAAAAAGAACAATAAAATACTTAATTTATAACGTTGAATTTATAGTATTGTAACTTAGACATTAGCATAGGAATTAATTCACGACAAGTCAATAGTATGGATCCTAGACCCTTGTAATGACATGCGAGGTTATGATTTCGGAGCACATGCTTAATGCCCGTATTCATAGTCAGACCTTGTACTTAAGAATTCCTTAAATTTATCTTTAGATGCTCAGTAGCCAATGAAATAATTCGTAGAGTATCTGAAGATAAATTTAAGGAAGCCTTAAATATAAGACTCGACTATGAATACGGGCATAAGTGTAGTCGAAAATGGAGTAGTTGTAAAGAGAGTTGTTTTTCTGGCCGAATTTTTGCACTCCCAGGAGGAAAGAAAAGGAAGAAGGATGAACTGGTGCAAAAGTTCAGCCAAAAAGAGCAGGTAAAAACTATCGGATTAGTCATTGTTAGAAAAAGAGAGCCATGAGTTACGGTATGAGAAAGTATAGTGAAGGAATGTGCCGATGTCGAATCGAATAGTTCATATACAGGGTGCTTCAGAAATAGTTAGCCAAACTTTAAGAGCATATTCCACTCATTGGATGAAAAAAGTCATATAAATATAGGTTTGGAAACACTTCCTTTCCTAGTTATAAACATTTCTTATTTACGTTGTACGTATTTACGTCGGACGATATACCTCGCTTCGACGTTCAATGAATTGTATTTCTTTTCACCTTCTAAAATAAACAAAAAGTTATTAGATAGGTCTGTATGGAATTGGAATCTTTATTTAAGCATTTAAGAGTGAAGATAGTATTCATCAACATGGCAGCTTATTCTAATATCGAATTGGCAGATATCCACTACATGTATGGGCGAGCTAATGGAAACTGTAGAGAAGCTCATTGTCTCTATCAACAAATCTTTCCTTAAAGACGATCATTTCCGATAATTTCTGTAATGAAAATATACATATAAGTAAATAAAAAATGTTTATAACTTGGAAAGGAAGCGGGTTCCGAACCCATATTTATGTGACTTTTTTTTCATCCTTACAATAGTCGCTTTCCATTTGCACACAAGTGAAACTGAGCCTGAAGTGAGCTGAGTGTTTCATACTCAGATTAATGACATCATTATTTGCTTATTTTGGTAAAAAGTTATCACATGATAACACAGGTTCATATTGTTCATAATCTCACTTTTAAAGTGAGTTTATGAGACTCACTAAAGCACACGGTCTCGATCTTGTGCAGATTGTAAGCAGAAACTCAATTAAATCTCATTTGTCAGAATGCAAAAGGAACGCGCATTCAACTGAGTTATGAAGTCACAAGTAAGAATTATCTGAGAATCGGTGTAAATGGAAAGCAACTATAGAGTGGAATACGCTCTTAAAGTTTGGTCAACTATTTCTGAAGCATCCTGTATAATGTAATTTGAGATGAGTGTTTGAGAAACAGAAAAATTTTTGTATAAGCAACAAAGACTCTTAAATTTTGTTTTTTAAAAAACAAAATTTTTTTCTTGTGCTTTGTGAAATTCGAACTTAGTTGCATATGATATATGATATTTGAGTATTGCCACATTCTGGTGATCGATCGGTTGAATGTGTTTTATAATCTACCGCATTTATATCATAAGCGATTGCAAAAGTTTGGACTTTTTTGCATTGAGGAATAAAGTTGTGATTCGGACACGATAACAATGAAACAGTGATAAATTGACAATTTTAAATCAGCTTTATTTTAAATCTCTACTCATAGAATGATCGAAGTCTTTTATACCGAGAAAAACAATGTTTTTCATAAACGCTCAAAGAGTAACAATTTTTTATCTGATGTAACATGCAATCTCCGTTAATTCGCAGTTCATTTTCAATCTCCGTTTACCCAATCAATCGCTAAATACGGTAGAGAACATTCCGCTATTGACGCCGACAGGTATTACCGTTGCAATTACATCTGAGATTTTCCAGATAACAGGCAGCCTCTCATCCTTGAGAGGTATCTAATCGCCGGCGATGCGAAAACAATGCTATGTTTAACGGCGTGTTTAGAGTCGGCAACGCGATTGCAAATCCCACTTGATAGTGCTTAGCGCTAAACATTGGTTAGGAAAAACTTTTGCAAGTGGGATTTGCATTGCGCATGTTGTATCCTAATGGCGGTCGAAGGAAACGATTCCTCGTTCTTCGTACGAGAAAAGTCTACCAGTCTCTTTCAATTTTTTTCCTTCGTGTGGCTGTTTGCTTTTTCGCATTATTTTGATGGCATTTCCATCCTTTCGCCGGTACTAATCATCACTGACGGCAAATTATGTTCGACGTGTTTTTCCGTGCTCGCTTTTGAAAATTCGACTTGCGGGACGTCTTAATGACTATCCCGCTTAAATAAACGCGGCTGACCACCGCGGCGCGACTCTAATTGCCTGTAATGAAGATCCACAGGCTCAGGAAAGACGCGATTGTGAATACATACGTATTTGCGTGTAACATCTCGCGCTGGTTGCCACACTCACGTTGATATAACGCTTGCAGAAAGTTCATATTAGCGAGAGAGAAGCCATTCCCGATGTAGCTATTCCCGAGATTGATCTCCGAGGCTTATTAAGTAGCTTGCGTTTTTTTTTGTTTTTTTTTTTATGAGAGACACGAAAGACGGGACTGTGGTTATGCTTATAATATGCTACAAGAGAAAAAAATTGCTTCTGTGGTGGAGAAACGTTCGCGGAAAGGATCGATGCGTGTGTATCTGGATCTGTCATTATGGCTAACAGTGTTGTGCAATTTAGCTCCCATGCAAATGTGGATAATTGAAATGATATATATATGGCATTAATACACTGAGAAACGGTAATTGAGTGAGTATGATGGAAAATTTCAGGCGAACGTTTCATCCAATTCGCGCGAATAATATATTTTATAAATACTAAAAGGCGTCATTGCACTCATAACATTGGTAAATATGGTAAATATGGAAATTAACGATTCATATTTTATAATGAAAAAGATGTAAAAAGATAATAAGGATAAAGTGTATATAAGGATAAAATATTTCGGAAAATATTACTGTATCCCATAAGTATTCGACATTTGACAAAAATGCGATCCGTTCTCGACTTTGATAGATATGATCTTTTTCTTTATACCTTGGAAAGCAAATAAATGGAGATTATGACATTTAGATATTATCTTGAGAAATGAATCGATTATCACGTTTTCAATATACAGAAAAACACTGTATATTATGTTTATATCGTAAAATTATATAACATTTATTTTCTGCATATAATAAGTAACATGTCTATAAAGCATTATGCATAATTATGTCTGAAATTGATAATGAATATTTTTTTTACATTGTGTGATAATTTTACGTTGTAAAAAATTTTGAAATTGCATTTTTTTAAGTTTATTGACTGGGTTCATTCGAATCTATTAACCTTGATTGATGTTTGGTTCTAAAATGCTCTTTGCTCGTAAAAAAAAATAGATAAACTTCGATATAAATGACTTTTTGTATTCGTCAAGCGCATAATATACAAAACATCCGCCTCATTGTCGAAAAGCTATTGACAAGGCAATAACAACTTAATCAATATTAGAAACGCTATTTATCCTTGTAGATCGGGAAGTCTCTGATCGATTATAATGGACATCATAGAATACCTTTGTTCCCTTTTCGTAAATGTTTTTCCTTCGCATTTCTCTTTGTATGAGGAATTCGTCAAGGTTTAATTTCTTTTTAGAAAGGGATACTATTATTCGATTGTCGAGAAACTGTATCGAATCGTTGCCTTTGGCAAGGACACGTCTCGTTCGATCATTTCATCAATCGGAGCAACGCTTGGTCGATCAATATTATTGTAATCAATTTTTAGTCGTTTGGAACGAGAGTATTCTAAACGGCGTTATTTAGTTAGTTATACCGAACATGTGTGTTGTATATACAGGGTGTTTCCAAATTAAATGGCAAAACTTCGGGAGCGTGTAGAGGAGTAAAAAACTAAGAAAAAAAGTCCTATAGACATATGCTCGTTTTTGCTCCGTTTCAGAGAAATCGAAAAAAAATGTTTACATTTCTTGCCATATCTAGCACCGACATATTTGATTACATTTTCCACTTTCTGTTATGAATTTGTCAGTCGCTCTTTGAAAGCCTTTAACAGTA